ATATGCACATTTTTACTAATAAATCATTTCAAATTTGGCGTGGAGTGCCCATAAAACATTCTCTTCACTTTCACTGTATACAGTTTTTAATTTTTACAGAAAACAAAAGTACGACTTTTAATAATCAGCTGTCAAACGCTTATGTTAAAAAATAAATGAGTTGTTGGGTGTATTTCGAGAGGAAATCCTGGGTTGAGTTTTTACCGGTTTTCCAATAAACAGTGTTAATCTGAATGAAGAAATAAATTGCATACAGTATCTGTAAATATAAGTGATTAACGTGAAAAGTGTAAACATTTCAATTCAGTAAAAATCGTCAAACAAATAAGTCGTCTAAATTTAAACAGCATTTAGCATTATTAAAAGCGTTGATTAAGAAAGTCTCCACTCAACGGTAAAATACCATTATATTATGCATTATATATAATATTATGTTGCTATGAATTCGTAGGTATATTTTGTTGTTTAAAATGCAGTTGTAGGCGTTTTTTAGAGAACTCAAATATAAAAATGGTTGATTTTAAGGTTATGTTTGTGCAAAAATTATTTTTTACTAATTTCTTAAAAATTTCCAAACTTAAATATAAATTATATTAGGTAAAGTTATCATTAGTTAATTCAGCACCAACAAATGTACTTACCGAATTGTATCCTTTGGCAAAACATGAAAATGCAGCGATTTAGTTCTTGTATTTTATTTACAATTAAAAACACAATAATTCACCATGATCCCTTAGATAAAATACACACACTAACGTAACTATATAAGCATTTAAACGTTGAGTTTCTTAATCAATGTTATAAGGAATAATCAATCGAAATCGAGTACTAAAAAAGTTTTTTAATTTTTTCCTTGCAACGTAAAACACAAATAGCTGTGCAATTGAACAAAATTTGTCGAGTAAGACTTAAACAGTTTTAAAATGGTAGAGAGACATTTTTAGGCAGTTAATAATAATAATAACCTAAACATATTTTTTTTTAATTTATTTATTTGGGGCCTGATTGACGTTTTATAACTTTTACAACCAAGTGCAGAACAAACCACTATTGTATTTTATTATTGAAACTTTTTTTTTTTCAATCAAAAACACACAAAAAACAAACGTTCTAAGAAAGATTTAGACAGTTTAAATTACGATGTATTTCAAAAAAAAATTACCGTTAAAAAAGATGCACCTAAAGTAGGTACATTAACACTGAAAGCACATGTGGATTTGTATTAAGCAAGTTCATGGACTGCAAACCGATATGTAAATGCGTTTGTAAAAATGGAAAACCGAAAAATATATGCACATTATTTAACATTTAAAACGAGATGGTTGAACTGTATTTTGCGCCATTTATCTAGACCTGTGCATTAACGCTAATTGGGTGAATTGTTATTTTTTTTAATGAAGCTTTTAGTTAGTTAATTTTCAGTTGCATTGTTGCTAATTACCTTACATTTGCATACATGTACAGGGTGTTTTCTTATAAATGGACACCCCTATAAAATCTTTATTAGGATAGATATAAAAAAGTGAGTTTTTTGACAAAAATTGACAACAAAAAAACATCGGTGTACTGAATCAATAAATTTATTAAAATAGCATTTCAATGAAACACCCTGTATATTTTTGTCTAGAATGGGTTTTTTGGGAAGCCACCAGGTCTAGTAATAACATAACATAATTGGTTCTGCACTAATGCAAGAGTTTTAAGAAATCATACATTTTGAATATTAGAGTTTCACGGAAGATAGCTTCACGGAGGTTAGGATTTTTTTAAAACATCCCTTTGTACATTTGAAATAAGTTATTGTATCTTTTGACCCCTTAATATTTTAAAAAAATACAATTGTACATACATAAAATATTTATAAAAATCTTTTAGTAAAATATTTCAAACAAATTATTTATATTTTAAACAAAATAATTTTATTTTAACAAATCATTCTATAATTTATAAATCATAATTATGTCTCAAACGGCCATCATAGTTTTTGATAGATTTTAAAAAAATATTTATTAAATTATAAATTGACACATGTTGGAAGGCTGATTAGAAAATGTATTGCATAGGTCAAGATAAATTTTAACCATTCGCCATAAAAGTACCTATTGATTAAGTTTTATTTGTAAACTTATACCGCTTATCAATTAACAATAATGAGTGCGAAAATACAGGGTGTCCCAGAATAAATAAAATTGTATTTATTTAAAATATAGTTTCATGACATTATCGGGATATTTCAATTAAATTTGTTTTATTTATCTCATTTTTCTATGATTATATACTTAGGGAGAAGGTTCGTGCTTTCAAACAAATTTAGTGAATAATTTAAATTTTAATTAAAAAACGTTCGCACATTAAGTGCCTAATCCACCGCAAAATGTAAAATGTAAATAAAAGTAAAGTTTTTTTTTTAAGTTTATCAGTTTACTAAGTGAAGTTTTATTTGTAAACTTATACCGCTTATCAATTAACAATAATGAGTGCGAACATACAGGGTGTCCCAGAATAAATAAAATTGTATTTATTTAAAATATAGTTTCATGACATTATCGGGATATTTCAATTAAATTTGTTTTATTTATCTCATTTTTCTATGATTATATACTTAGGGAGAAGGTTCGTGCTTTCAAACAAATTTAGTGAATAATTTAAATTTTAATTAAAAAACGTTCGCACATTAAGTGCCTAATCCACCGCAAAATGTAAAATGTAAATAAAAGTAAAGTTTTTTTTTTAAGTTTATCAGTTTACTAAGTGAATTAAACACATCCAAAGCAATCGAATCAAATATTAAATATTATTAAAAATTAAAAGAAATAATTTTTATAACCATTTATGTAGGTGTTACAAAAATTGATTCTATCCTCCGTTAATCTGTTTTTGCTTTAAATTTTATGCAACGGATGGCGCTTTAATCATTTTAAATAAGCAAAAACCTCTGTTTACGACATTATAGATGCATGTGATTCCTTGAAGGTCAGTTAAAATTAATATGCAGATGAGAGTGTTGCTGTTTTATAATTCAAAAGTTTAAGTTCTTTAATGTGCTATTTAAAAACCTATCTCAGTAAGTAGGTTTTTTTTATAAATATTTTATGTATGTACAATTGTATTTTTTTTAAATATTAAGGTGTCAAAAGATACAATAACTTATTTCAAATATACAAAGGGATATTTTTAAAAAACATACGAAATCCTAACCTCCGTGAAGCTATCTTCCGTGAAGCTCTAATAATCCAAATGCGAGATTTCTTAAAATTCTAACCCTATTCTAGGCTAACGGTGAAACAACCAAAAATAAAAAATAATCGTTTTCACAACCGTTCATTTCAAAGTTGGTATTTACAGAAACGATTTTTAAGAAAGTAATCTTAATTGTATAACAATAATAATAAAGTTATTTGTTGAGTAACGTAACTATAAAAAACTTGTACATTCACGTGTAAGAAATTAATAGAACACATGAGTAGATATGCAATATATGCATATATATGTATGTTTTGCTTTTATAACTTTTTGTCAGGAAAATAAATGGTTATCGTAATAATACGGAAAATACAGAAATATTTCCAAAAAAGTGAGAAAAAAAATTTACCATATTTTTTACCGATTTGTATAAGCCCCTATTAATTCATGAAAAAAACACAAGGTTTAAAATTCCCAATTGGAACAAATTTTGAACTTCAATTTAAAAACTTTTAATTTATTAAATAGGTCTTATATATTTATTTATTTAGATATATGTATATGTACATATGTAAGTGTTTTGTAAATATTGATCATTAACATTGTAGTTCATATGTAATATTAATAAAAGTATTATATAAATTCAATCACAGATAAGAATTATCTCAAATGCTTCCAGACAAAAAAATTCTCAAAAATAGCAAATAAGCCAAGGTTACAAAATTTTTATCCATATTAAGTTTTTTTTAGTTCGTGTAAAACTTAAAAAATGAAAGCAAATTACCAATAACGTAACTCTAAAAATAAAATTGGTGGGATGACCCCTTGTATGGGTCCCACCTGATAGTATGTCAATATCAGGTTGTTTGATGGAATTCATATATTAAATCGTTTTTCAAATGTATTATTAAGTCCTTATCAACAAATAACATGTTGTTTTATTTAATAATTACGCCATATATGAGTGATATGGCCATTTAAAAATTAAAATCAGTTTTATAATTTGTAATAAATCATTAATTTATTAATTAAAATACAAGTTTTAACAATTATCGACATTTTTAAGAAACTAAAATATAACAAATTTTAAATGACAGTAAAGATTTGTAGGTTATCTTACATATACTTAAATATGTGTTTATTTCATTATAAGAGTAAAACATTTTTAAAATGTATTATAAAATATACACATAAATACATTTATAACTGACTAAACCTTATTATTGACAACTAAAATATAACAAATTTTAAATGACAGTAAAGATTTGTAGGTTATCTTACATATACTTAAATATGTGTTTATTTCATTATAAGAGTAAAACATTTTTAAAATGTATTATAAAATATACACATAAATACATTTATAACTGACTAAACCTTATTATTGACAAAAACTTGGTTTGAAAGCCGGTAAAGCAGATTCCTGACATCATTTTATACATAATATACTATAGAATAGTAATGATATATCATTTCTTAACTTTAACCGGTTGGCGAAATTTTACTTTCCCACGGGCTGAAGTAATCGTTGGCTTTAAATTTCTTGCGGTAGTTGAACAAAATTTTGTGTGCCACTGTATTTTGCAGGAAAAATATTATTTAAATTTTCTTAATTTAATAAATGAATTTATAATCTATACGGTGGTTAAGGTAAACAAAATAATAAATAACGGTCTCAAAAACTAGTTGCCCTTGTATAATTTTTTTCGTATATAATTAAAATTAATAATTTTTTTATTGTTTTGAATTTATTATTAATTTTGCCTTCCTTAGTAAGTATTAAAGTAATATACTAATTTTTGTTTATTTTTTTTTAGGTATGACCAGGTTTTATCATTTAATAGGTAAGTTTAGGAGCTGTAATATCGACCTTCATTTTCAATAAACTTGGCAAAACTAAAAAGTTTCACAACCTTAAAAGTTACTTTGACGGTCAATAAATAAATTTATAACGTTAGTGTTGCGCTAAATTTACTTTTTAACTATAATATAATTTAAAATATTTTATGAAATTTGCATTTAGCGTTCACAGCATAGAAAATTAATACACAGGGTATGTTGTGCTTTCAAATGGTTTAAAGTAAGAAAATAATTTTACACTCTTTAAAACATTTGAAGAGGTTATGTGCAAATACATGTTGTTACGTCAAAAATATATTCAGTTTTCATAAGTTTCTATGGCGATATCAGAAGGCTCAGTTTGTGGGTGGTAAGAAAATAATTTCGTACAAAAAGTTTATCTGAAAATTTTATCAAATTCTCATCCTGTAGTAAGTGTTAAATAATGGAAATAATATAACTGGTTTATCCTTCATATTTTTTAAATTTTTTTTATATATGCTTAACTATCAATATTTATATATTTAAATGTTGATCTTTATCTTTATTATCACTTAATCCTAAAAAATAAGGAAATATATTAAAATTCTCTATAAATAGTTACAAGATATTATGAGAAAATGTTGACAAAATTCTGTGGTTGTAAAAGAGAAAATTATTAAGGTTGCTAAGACTAGTCTAAGTGTATAGCAATAGTGTATACACTATTCTGCCCTACTATGGAGAAAGGCAGTAACTGCTAAACAAGAAATTTGTGGAAAATTAGCATAAACTACATTTTTATAAAAAGCAGTAGGTATTTAATTGATTTTTTTTAACTTATGAGATATATGACTGCATTTCTGTGGTGAATTCGGTTACAAAATGTCCATGGCTTTACCATAGCACAAGAAAACGTTTTTTGCATTTTTTTGCAGTTACTGCCTTTCTCCATAGTAGGGCAGTATTGCTAAACTGTGTTGTGAATTTTAACAAAAATTAATATCAGTGCACAGATTTGCAATAATAAATGATAATGTTGACTGTGCCCAACCAAAATTATCAATCTGTCATTTTCGTGTTGAAGATCCGGCAACACTGAATTACGGATTACTGGATTTCTTTATTATGAAAAAATCATATTTCTCTCTATAAAATTTTGAAATTTTCGAAGAAAAAAAAATAAGCGAGAAAAAATATTTCTTTTACTCGTCATTCTAATAAGGAAAGCTATGGAAAAAGTCATGCACCATAGTTATTGGACATACAAATTTTATAAAAACTTAACACCTTTACATCAAATAACATAAATTGTTATATATTTTTTAAAGATAAATTGCTGTTTTAGGTAATTTTTTTTATTTCGTTTTTGTAAATATCATATAATTCATATATTTCTTTCTCGGATTCCTCATCCCTTTTCTGGATTCTGAAGGTAACTACTAATTCCTTGGTCTGACTTCTAAAATAGTTTGTTGCAAATATCATTAAGTGTGGTATCTCTAGTTTGTGAAGCATTTATAATGTTTAGGCCGGAACAGGATGATATATATATCTAATATTTTTTCGGGTGGTATGTTAAAAGTATTTTTCAAATTTATTAATTTTGTTGACATTAGTTTTTTTATGTTCTCTATCATGTATTTAAATCATTGATATTCTGCAAGATGTCCTGTGACGAAGAAATCACTATATTACTTACTCTCTAAAAAGGAATTAGCAGTCAATTCATATGATATATTATTCGCTGAATCGGAAAATGTCGTCAAAAGTTATAAAAGTAGAACAGTTTTTGAAATATAATCAATTTTACATATAATATGGAATTGACAATATCTCAAAAACTGCTTAACTTTTATAGTTTTTGACGGTCTTTTCGGATTCAGGGGACAAATTTACATAAGAATTGGCTGGTAAATGCCCGGGATATAAATAGAGTAAAATATTGTCCAATAGTAGAAATTTACATTTTTTACCAACCAGTAATTGGACACAATCTTACCACCAAAGTAATTATTTTGTTATGTTATGTTGTATATTTTTTCTTAAAGATTGTTTACTTTAATAAATAACCTTTTTATTGAATTAAAAATACTTTTGACCTTTGATATTATCAAATCCAATAAAAGACGTCTTAAGAATTTCCTTTAGGATGGATTATTTTATCTTATAACATTTTTGAAACATTGTAAAAAAAAGGTAATAAATCAAACTTTGAAAAATGTTCTTCAATTCCAATATTTCCTTTCATCGACTTTAATACACTATATAGGTTCAATCCAACAATTTTATTTAATAATTTAATCATCCAGTTATAGTAGGGAAGTGACTGTATCAGTGTTATTCACATTTTTTTCGTACGCCACTGACAACCCTAACCATAGTCGATATTTCTCACCCCCCAAATGCCATCACACGAACTGACCTTGCCCTTTTCTGACGTTCCAGCTTGAAAATGGGCAACCTGTTGAGTCGCGAAGCTATGTCAGCGGGTTGTATGTTAGACAAAGGCCAAACGCAAATTTTTAAATTTGATGTACTATAGCATATATGCTCCACACGGTGTGGACCACACCTCAAAATCCCACCACTTGACCACGTACGGAACGCAGTCTTTTGAAAATTTGGCATTTAAGGCTTTTCAGGTTATGTATCTGTCAAAGTATAGTCAATGAAAGAAATAATATTTATAGTGTTGCCGCTTATGTTCAAGCGTTAAAAGTTAATAAATCTTTATACGAGCCCTAACCACATAATGTTCGGACACTTCATAATTTATACAGAAATTTTTTTCGTGAATACTATCTCAAAATTATTAGAAGTTATGAAAAATTCAGCTTATTTTGGCATATACCCCTCGAAGCGATTTTTATTTTTAAAAAGTTTACCTTTTATTTTTAGCTTTTAAAAAAAGGCTAACTTTTTAACTTTTTTTTGCATGAGTAAAAAAAGTTATAAATGGGCCCATTAAAAAGAGCATAAAATGTGTCCGAACATTATGTGGTTAGGGCTCGTAGTATCACAATAACAATGGTTGGTTTAAGAATTTAGGAATATAAATACTGCATTTAATGAAATTCCAAAGTGTAAGGTGCAATATAAGTGATATTTTTGTGCATTGGGTCTACATTTCTCCATAAAATAATTTTAACTAAACAGCATTTATTAAAAAAATCTAACTTCTCCATTATGAAATAAGAATATCTGTATCAAAGGTAACCTACCTAATGTATTAGAACAAAAATTTTGTAATTTTGTATTTTAAGGTTAGAAGAATCTATTTTTACCAAAATAAATAGTGGATTATTTGAAAGAGTGTGTTAATATGGTCATAAATAAATATAGGTATACTAAATAATTGTTGAATATGGTTCAAATTAAATTGAAGCTTTTATACTTCAAATGACAAAACTTGTGCATACCTCTCGGCATACCTACTTTAAGTTAGATTATAAGAAAACAAACAATTTTTAGAGAAACTTGCAATGTGAAAATATTTAATACTCCCATGACATGTGATTTATTAAAATTTTTAAAGTTATAATGATTTTTCGATGTTGATCAAGTTCAGTCGAAGCTTTTTAACTATTTGTATTGACAAAACTTTATGTAGGTACACTTTAAGCTGGATAAGAAAAACTACCACATTTTTAAATACCATATTATACAGTCTTTTAAATAATCCAAAATACTTATTTATTTTGTTCAAAATAAATTTTTCCAACCTTAAAATTACAAAATTAGATGATATTTTTGTTATAATATATTAACCTACCTTTAAAACAGATATTCTTATTCCATAATAGAGAAGCTAGATTTTTTTAATAAATGCTGTTTAGTTAAAATTATTTTATGGAGAAAACTAGATATTTGGACCAAATGCACAAAAATATTACTTATTTGGCACCATACACTTTAGAATTTCATTAAATGCAGTATTTATATTCTTAAATTCTTAAACCATCCATTGTTATTGTAATGTTATAAAGATTTATACATTTTTAACGCCTAAACATAATATTATTTCTTTCGTTGACTATACTTTGACAGATACATAACCTGAAGAGCCTTAAATGCCAAATTTTCAAAAGACTGCGTCCCGTACGTGGTCACGTGGAGGGACTTTAAGGTGTGGAGCATAGTACATTTAATAAAAGCACTGTATCGTGTTTCCAATAAAAAAAAACACTTCTAAACTTCATTAAATTATTATCAGGTTGCTAAAAACTTAATGACATCATCCCTGAAAATTATATATATACCTACTTGCTGCTCCGTGAATTGGAAAGACCTTCAGTTTCAGCTTCAACAATCGATAATGGCGTCGTCGAAATCACGCTACACCTTTAACCGTTTGACCTGGTTAAAATTAAAAAGGCCTTAAATTAAACAACGAATTGAATGTATCTAAATGTCATTGATTTTGGCGATAAATGATGAACAAACGATGTGGACAAACTAGAATAATAACAGGCTAAAACAAGAAATAATGTTTCTTACGGTATAATCAAAAACATGTTTGTCCCAAGAAAGTGAACTTTTTTCAATTATTCAACATTTCTGGAAAACAATGTTTTCGACATCATCAACCGCATAATCGGACTAAAAACCACGTAATCCCCTTTAGAACGCTCGTGCTGGAAACAAACAAAACAGAGAGAGAAGGAAATCCTGCAAGAACCTGTCCTGCTGTTTTCCATTCTTCGCACAATGCAACCTTTAAACAATGTCAAAAACATACACTGAGGATATCGAACTCAAAGTATTGTTGGATCTAACCCATATGTGGTGTTACAAAAATTTATTCTATCCTCCGTGAATCTGTTTTTGCTTTAAATTTTATGCAACTGATGGGGCTTTAATCATTTTAAATAAGCAAAAACCTCTGTTTACGACATTATAGATGCATGTGATTGCTGAAGGTCAGTTAGAATTTATACGCAGATGAGAGTGTTGCTGTTTTACAATTCAAAAGTTTAAGTTCATTAATTTGCAATTTAAAAACCTATCCACCGTGAAGTGTAAT